TGAAAAATATACATAATAAATAATTAAGTATATAATACTTCAATATCATGTAAATAATAAAAACCTAAGAAATAAATCAATGTACTTAATTTCCCCCAAAAAAACTTTTGTTTCCAATAAAAATTTCAATATACTGTTAGACCTATTTCAATAATTTTATTGATGACTCGTATTATTAATAATCACTAAATCTGGCCAATGTACAGATATATTATGCATACGAATTTTGATGTGACATATTGCTATATTGACCTTTATAGATATTTTTTTATTTTGATTAGCGGTTTTATTATGCTAACAATTTGTTGAGTTTAAAAAAATTGCAAATATTGAAAGTCGTTTGCTTGTTATTTAAAGTTGTCGGATATGTTTTTTGTGCGATGATGTCATTAAAATTAACATTTGTTTTTAGATTTTTACCTGTTTTAACTAAATTTGCCATATCTCTAGTTGGATAATCTTTTAACTTTCATCAATTGACGTAATCCATTATATGATAATAAAAAATCAGTTAATTATCGTTTCGCAAATAAAAATATATATGAAAAACACGTTTAATTATGAGAGTACGAAAACAGTCTGGAATACTGTTGAAAATATTACTTGACCTTTCAAAACTTGTTCACCAAACCATACTAATTTAACAATTCTTTTTATTTCTATTTCGAAAATATTATAACTTTCATAAACTGATGTAATTAATATTTTAAAAAATCAGTTTATGAAATTATTATCTAGCATTTAAAAATATTTGAAAAATGACTATTAATTAAACCATGAATACATAAATACATTAAATTAAATAAATATAGAAAAACATGTTTAATTATACAAACATAGACTGGAATACTGATTTTCAGGCTAATAATACTGACCTTTCAAAACTTGCATCAATTTATATCAAGGTAAAATATTTTGTTGGTTTTTTTTTTCTTCTACTTTCTTGAACATCATACCACTTGGTTTTTTTTTTCGAGATAAAACTATGGTATATCATTTTCAAATAAATAGAGAAAAGATGTGATTGATTGTTCAACTTTCAAATTTTTATTCGTGTTTCAAAACCAGATTTTCCTGAAAATTTTAAGTTATTCTAATATTAAATCTTTTGATGTTCTATTGTCCGAATTCAACGAAAAATGTTTTTTTCTTCTATAGAAAATTCTGTAATACATACATATAGACTCATAGATATACATATATAATTTTTACAGTATCTGAGTATGTATGGTTGTAATAGCTTTATTTATGTGTCCCGGCTGCACCCGCGGAGCGAAGCGAAGTCAGTCAGTCCATTGCCGCGCCATAACCTACCATAACACCAAGCATCCTTTTATTTTACCATCATCATCATTTCTTTTCTAATTCTTCTCTCGCAGGAATCTCGTTTCATATAATATATACTTGGCCGCATGAGAATGTGAGCGCCTTCGTATGCATGGCTCTGTAGTATGTAGCATACACACACATACACAAGAACATCTATACACTTGTATATGTGTACACATGCACACACCAACATACACGTGCATAGCCTCGTACGAACTTTGTAGATTCGCTCGTCGAGATTCCGTTTCAAATTCCCATTTCATAAAATCACGATGGAGGGAAAACATTACAGCCGTTGCGGCTCTGTAATTAGTTACAATCGATTGGGCATTTGCATTGATTATTGTAAAGATATAGTTATAAATTTCATAAATATATACTCCCCATTCTACGAATAGAAAATCACTAGTCTAAGAAGAATACAAAAATTGACGCCCGTTCTATTCGAAACGCTTCACAATATAAATTGAACTTGAATAATATATACTCGCAATTAAAAATTAGTAATAGCCTTTATTCAAAATGGTAACATTAGGCAATGTCTTCAATTTAATTTAATGGATAAAATTGAATCGCCTTAAGCTTCAATTTCAAGTACAGTACTTAACATTAAAAATGACCAGTCGAGTAGTTTGTTAATGGTCTTGCAATCTTATTATTATATTGAAGAATAATACAGTTAACCGTCATCGGAATATCTTATATACACGCTTCGTGTGCATTCTAAATTATTACTACATATCTACATAGATTTAATAATTTTGAAATATATTCTCCGCTAGATTATATTAATACATCTATAATGGTATACAATTTTATATATTTTATACAATTTTTTATAGTGTTGAAAAATATCTAAATAAGATTAATTAATTGAATAATGTCAGTATATAATAGCTCCGTATAATTAATTACCCAATTTAATGGAAATTTTCTCAAACTAACTCCGCTATTAATAAATGTATGAGTCATCTTAAGATCCTAAATATTCGCCTACAACTAAAAACGAGCGCTGAAAGCTGACAGTTAAATAAATATAAATTATTTATTATTATTAAATTTGAACGGTTTTAATAGAAAATACAGTTATGCTAACAGGCATCGTGCAAATACAAAATTTATTGCTAACGAATTGTCCGTAGCATATATATTTGAAAATCGTGATTCTAGATGTATAACTAAATTAAACATTATTTTTGTATCACCTTTAACGCTTTACATGCGATTATGCAAGCGCAATTTGAAATTGTATTTACGTTAAGCCTTGAAGTCATAAGGTCATATGATTCCTAAATAAATCAAGCAGTACTTATTTATTTATCTAACTTCTCCATGGTGCCGTGGACCGGTCTGATGTGATTTGTAGGTGGGAAAAGTTAAAAAGACCACTGTTATTATTATTGGAACTACACCATGATATAAAACTCTTATGTTGCGTACACACCACATCTGACAAGCGGAGTGGCGCTTGCGCATAGTCTGTCTACTCCATTAAGAGGTGTGCGCGCAACTTAACAAAAAGGCTTATCGGAAGTGGTATGGATGCAATATGTTTATCTATAAGTATGATTATTATATGGGAAATTCCAAATTTATATTTTTTAACAAACCCACATGCATTAATATACAATATAATTAATTTTGATAATTGTCAAGTACTTGTTAAGTTAATATTTATAGAGAGTTTCGTGACTACTTTTGAAATAGTTTATCTCAGTGTTTCACAAAATTTTTGGGCCGCGAACTCCTTTTGCACTTAAAAAAATTAAAGAACCCTCCCGAAGAATGGGTATATGTAGAAAAACTTTGAGAATCACTGATTTATCTAATAAAAGTTATACGTGTTATGTTATTAGACAAGTATCGTATATGTAAAAATATTTGATTTATTGCTTTTCAAAAAAATATGCAAAATAATGTCAATTTAATAGGTGATAATTCAAATCATGCGGCTTTCTATTTAAATTATTTACTGGAAAGAATTTTCGAAAACACATCAGGTAAATAGTAAAAAAAACTATATTTACATTTAATATGATGTTGCGCTATGTTTTATAAGAAACAAAAAAAATCAATATTTATTATATGTATGCGTCTCAGAAAATATCGTCAAATGCGTAATTAAGCATCAATTAAACGGTGTACGTCAAAGAAGTTGTTTGGAATAATAATAAGCTCGTGGCAAACGAAGACACGTTGATTTCCGCTTGGATTGCATCTCTGGAGGAAAATAGTAAAATACAAATGTCGCAGAAAAGAAGAACAAACCGAAGCTGTATCTCGGCGAGCAGCATCCGCATATCGTCGAAAACAGTTATGATTATCAAAGTCGCAATTTAGAATCCGAGACAAATCCGCAATTATATCTAAAGCTCGCTCGCCCATACAATAAATCTGCATTTATCTTGAATTTTTCACCATTATCGCTCGATAAATTTCTCCGTTGTGATTCCGCGATGACCGTCGTTTTTCAATCATTGATTTCGAACGGTTTCTCAATCCCTTGTGAATTCAAATACGTCGCCATTCTGGAAACGATCATCATTGTCGTCCGGGATTTGAATTAAAAATCCATTAAAACGTTTTAATTAGAAACCTCCGGAGTAATTGAATCTCGAATTAATTACGAATTGCTAAAGGAAATTGAAAAAAAAATAACACACACGATCGTGGTTTTATACAAAAAAAAAAACGAAAGTTTAAATGCCAATGAACACAATGGAGTTGCGAGTGTTAATTGATTGCATCTCATTTAATTACGACGCGCAATTTCATTTTGAGCACTTTTCATTTGGGATTAACGACTTTAATAAATATTTGGTATTCCGATCAGACTGTGTCCTTCGATAGGTGGCCTTTGAGCTAAATGCCAAAACCACATGCAACAAATGCAACGCAGAAACATAACATTCGATTTTTGCTCTAAGAATAAATCCAGTTAAAGAATTTCGTTAATTTAAATGTTCCTAATTTAGTGAGCAAGCTAACTGGTTTCTCGGCGTTACACAACACAGTCTGCAGGGAAAGAGAAACACAGTTCGCATGACATCAACTCTCGGCCTTTTTTCTTCGGAATTGATTATGTAATGTGTAAATTTATGAATGTAATAAAACCTCAACCTGAAGTAGGTGCTTAACTTGTTTTTTCTTCTACTTAAAGTTATTAATTTGAATTATTACTAATGATAGTGCAATGCATTTTAATGTATGATTTAATGTTTTGGTTTTCACACTTCATAACTGTGAGAGCTCAGTATAATTAAATCAAAGTGGAGGAATGTTTGATTTAATATACAGCATCTAATTTACTGTAAATCCAAAGAAACTCTTTCCTATTAGTTAAAATTATATTTTCCGACTTTTTTTTTCCATTTATTGACAGAGAGAAAAATAGTTTTATTTAAAAAAATGTCTATCAAAGTCTAGAGAGAAAGTTTATGGTTCGTATAAGAATATAAATTCACAATAGCATCTTCCTGGTAGGCTTACAGAATAGGCCATTCTTATCGTTAATGACCTTTTGCGCCAGGACTTTCTAATGCGAATAGAACCCGAAGCGTGAAGTCAAAACAAAACATATTTTCTGAGGCTCCACCGAAATTGTCCTTGCAAAATCTTGCTCAACTCGTTACGTAACTTAAGTGTATTAGTAGAAAAATAAACTAAATTACCGATTGCAGTGTGGTATCCAAAAATGAAATATGGGCCTTATTCGTATTTGGGAAACACGAGCACTAAGTGTACGCCAATTCGAGTATTTCCAACTAGCGTTTGGTTTTAGATAGACGTCAGCTAATTGGACAATACCAACCGCGATCGGATTTGGACTTCGAGAGTTACGCGACCCGCACTTCCAACAGCTCTGACACCGACTTCGCTGGTCCCGCGTCAAACCGCGTGCATCGGCCGCGAACCATTCGCTTACGTCACCGTGGAGATCTCAGGTGGGGCATACCTTATACCTTTAGACGCGTTAGAATGTGGGTGCACGTCTCACACTAAACTCTCTTTAACCATTAAGATAACGCTCACCAACTACCAAGAATTTTCAAGTAACCTAAGGTCGTTACAGTATTCATGGTACCCATTGTATATTCCTATGTAATATTGCTACAACATATGCCATTGATAAAAAAGAAAGCAAATTTCGATATCACTCATATCTGGCACTCTTTTAATGATATCAAATGATATAACATGTATAAAACTAATACTAATAATCCGTAATAAATATTAATTAGTACTTAATACAAATTTATTTTATTGTAATTGTATTGTAATTGTAATATGTTTTATTGAAATAGTTTTTCTAATTAGATCTATTTTAATACTTCTATTAATGAAATCTCGATTATTATATATATATTATAATTTATTTGAATACTATAGGTGGATAATGAAATCTACATTCAATAAATTTCTAATATCATTTTTATCGACACTTTTGAATAGGTTTTAATTCAGCCATTCAGATAACAACTTTTAGTTATATTATATTTTACACCAAACTCTATTTCAACATTTTTTTAGTGGCATCTTTCCAAAAGCTATATTTTCAATTATTGTACAGAAATTCCGTTATTAAACGTAACTTTGACCAAGGTATGACTGTACTTAAATCAAAATGTAAAAATGCCTATCTTCTTCCATAACTTCTTCATAAAATATACAAATCATATCATAAATATTATTTCTTATTAAGGGAACAAACATTTGTTCAAAATTTGATGATTTATTTTATTTGTAATTTGTCTGTTTCTTATAAAAAATAAACAGGATCTACTACTTATTATATTTATATTATATTTATTGGACAGGCGCAATTTAGAAAGCTTATTGTGGTCCAAGGCAGCTTTGGAAAATAATTGAAAATATTTCATCTTACACTAATTTTCAAGCCAAAATATTAAATGCATATAGCAAAATTGTAGTCGATAAAACACTTATAATACTAAATTCTCTATATAAAATAATTATAAAGTCTAGAAATTGGAAATAAATAATAATAATAATAAAAATCTTTAATAGTCACCAATTGTAACCAAGAGGCTATCGGGAAGTAAATAAATATTTCACAATTTACAAAATTTAAGTAACATGTGAAGCAGACTAATAGAATGGAAAACCCTAGGCCCGGGGGTCAAATCCAGCCCTTTACTTTTTTATGTTTATTTTAAATGATCTTGAATCAAAATTGAGACATTTTATAGAAAGATTTTTTTATTTATTTTATATACGTAAGGCAGAATTGCAAGCATCGTCAAAAGTTAATCTTTTCAACTACAACAAACTTTTTCGAATAATTCGTAACTTTGATATATTAACAATATTAATTTAGTTGAATTATATGAGCTAACTAGTAAGTGATAATGAGTTGTGTGATCAGGCGCTATGCCTACATGTATTAAATATTTTATTGAATGCTAATTGAACATCCGGAATATTAGTATTGTAATTTTTGAAACCGTTAGAACAAATGTTTTACCATACTCGTTGTTGGAATATTAAAGGTTGATACACTTAAGCATGTTATAAAACAATGAAATATAATTTCATTTACATCAATTGATTTCTAATGATTTACAAGTTAAATTAATATTTTCTGTATATTGGGTCAACATCTATAATATGTGTATTCAGTTGTCTCTAATAAACATTTTTTTTTTACATTTATACTAAAAAATAATATTATGTTTATATTTTTAAATATATTTAACCCAGTACTTTAAGTTTGATAACCTTGTACAAGCAAAAAAATATGATGAATAGATTTTACAGCTACGCATTTTTAATTGAGGATACTGATTTTGTATTGTCATTAATTATTCATCAATCTTAAATCCTAAGATGATCACATTTTTCTATACTCTTTAGTTGGTTGAAAAGATCAAAAAATACATTGACAAAAATTTTGTCCTAATAACATTTATACCAGTTCAAAATTAAATTAATAAATTATTGTAATAAAATTTAATTAATTTAATATGTATTTATCAAATTTACTATGAATTGTTTTTTTTTTGTCAAATATTTGTTCATATAATAAGAACGAAATTAAAAAAATATAGAAATAAATATGAATTTTAAACTAAAAGGGAAACTAAAAAAATATCTAATTTCATTCTCTGTATATCAGCAGTCGGGGAACCGGGGTAAATTACCCAAAATGGGGTAAATTTTTTGGGTAATTTTTCTAATTTCATCTTACCAAACTCAGAGAGCGGTTCTCTGACTACTTTTCAGATCTTGATGTACAAACTGTGAATTGGGTTTATCCTTTAATTAATTACTAACATACCAGAAGAACAATTACTATCAAGAATCTAACTTCCATCCAATACTGTATTCAATTTGAGACCAAAGCAAATCTTGTCGTCTTTTTGGTTGTCAAAGGCTGCAAAGGCTTTCAAAATTGCACATGAGGAGAGCATTTGCAACAACCTACCTTTGTGAACAAGGCTTTTCCACTCTAATGAACATAAAAACGAAAAACAGAAATCGATTAAACGCCGAAGACTGTATTCAAATTGCTCTTACATCAAAAAGTCCCAATTTTAAAGTAATTATATCAAACATGAAGCAACATCATTTTCCAAAACCTGAAGGGGGAAAGTTTTCAATTAATTTTTGTTTGTTCCAATTTAAGAATTTTATTTTGTTTGTCTATTACTATTTGTTACTATTTTCATGTAACTTTTTTTTTATAAATATGTAAATGCAAATTAATTCAATAAATAATGTTTATTTAAAATTTACATTGATTGTTTTCTATTCAGAATGGGGGGGATTAATATCGACTTACGCAATAATATTTTGGGGTAATGGTTAAAAAAGTTCCCCGACCGCTGCTATATATGATATAAGGATATTTTACTATTGAAAATTTGTCAGTTAAAAATAATATAATTCCACGTTATTGAATTTGCGTATTTTAGTAGGTTTAATGCGCGCCACTTGTAAACTACATTCACTGTATACAATACTTTACTTTCGCGTTAAACACTGTAAATCGCGGACTTCCATATATATCTAAACCACTTTCGACTAATTTAAAATGCTAACGAAACCAACAAATATAAATATACGTATCCGTAGGTACGTGTGTGGGTGCCGATTGCCGTTTTTAGTTTGGTGGAACGACCTCAAAGCCTCTTGATTCTTGAACAACATCAGAATTTAAATGTAATAACAATTGTTTCCGCAACATTATGCAAAGTAGAAATCTCACTAATTTAACTAGATTCGCAAGCTATATATGTCGATTGAAATATTTTTGAGATTCTCACAATTCTATAACATACGTTTTAATTAGATTATTTTTATTATTAAGTCAACAATAGTAATTGCAAAAAAAACTCTTCTTTATAAATATTCTTAAACTTTTAATAGTTACTATAATTTAAACATAATATTTTATTAAGTTATGTAGTTTTATATTTATTTTTTTAGTAACATTTTAACATTATGAATAAATATTATTATTATTTTTAATATATTTCTATATTTTATATGTAGTTAAATTTCTAAAACTATCAACGTCACTTAAACGTTAGGAGTTTCTAGTATTTATTAAATTGAATATACTGTTACTTTCTGAAATTGCCTTGACACGCACGTTAATAATTTGCACTATAATGTTTATTTCTGGAGTTGCATGCATAGTCTTATGTCCATAAAATGTGGATTTCCTTGTCACACTGAACGTAGTGAAAATTCCATTTACTGTTTCTTTATTTTCGTTATAACAAACAATTTCAAAATATTGTTATTGACAAAGTTTCATGAATAATTTGAAATTGTATTTCTGGTTTACACTTATTAAACTGTTATATTTGCACATAAACTTTATGGTATATTATTTCATTATAAATAATAGTTGTTGCACAATTCTTTCAAATTCTATATTTAAAAATTTTACCATGTGATTTAATTTTTTTTTTTCATTTTGTTATGATTGTGTAATATGCACATCTATTATTCAATAAATATTGTTTATATAATCATATTACATCATATCACGGTATCACGGTATCATTTTTTTCATTAACTAAAAGTAATAATCATTAAATGAAAGTAATAATAATTATATAAAAGTAATAATCAACCTTTTCCAATTGCATCTTTCGATTTTATCTAGAAACTTTACTCCGGAAACTTTTATGTATTCCCTAGATAATTTGTAATATTAGATGGATTGTCCAATTTGGTCAAATATATTTTTTATCAATATTTATATATTTATTTATACCAAATAATATTTATATTTATTGATTTTATGAAAAACTTTAGATAACAAGATAACAATTTCAAGACCCTTTTAGCATAAAAAAATATTAAAATAATAACATCAAAAAATTTAGAAATGAAGTTATCAATGCATCTCGAAAATGACGATTATTGTCCGCATTCAAATGATGATTTTCAGTGAAGAAAAACAAAAAGAAATTTCTATCGAAAATATATTAACAACCAAATATATTACCATTAAAGACTTTTATTTTTTAGCCATTGATAAATGAAAGAGAAAAATAAATGTAATTTCTCTTTCTATGTAATTTTACCGTTTATTTAATAAATTTTGCTTGTTATAAAAAACAAAAGGCTTTTCACTTTTGTTAATTAAGTTAGGGTTTCCCAAACTATGTGCCGCCGAAGTTATTAGGTGTTCGGTGAAAACCTGGAAGAAAGTAAATAACGATTTTTTTTCTGAATTAAGGAATAATTGTATTTAAAAATATTTGGTAATGTGTTTCTAATTTTATGTGATTTAGAGTGTTTAAAATCTTTGTTTTCAAGCAACTATTCATTAAATTATTTCTATAATTCAATAATACTGTTTCAATGTTTCTATACGTATAGATTTTTTAAAAGAAACCAAACTTTATATAACGTAATT